AACTCTTTATGGTGGCCAATTTACAATTCAACTTATTTGATACTACCAAATTACCTTTCGAATAGGACAAGATTGTGTTAAACCTAACGTTCAATTACTTGATAATGATTAGACAACACCCTTGGGCAAAGATCAAATCTAACAAGAGACACACATTTTTGATTTCTAAATTACATGGTAAAGGAAAAATGAAAATTATTTTTGAAATAGTTTTGATAAGTGTAACTTCTTACTAAATCAAGCCAATCCATTGTTCCTTCTTTAGTACACCACTTATGATGTCAAATCTATTAATCAGCTTTAAATTACATGCTGATCACTGGACTATTATTTTCATCTTGCAATAAAACAAGTACTCAAAATCCTACTTTAATTATAACTCCTGTTTCAGGGAAAACTTCTGCCTTAATGACATAGACATTCAAATAAATTAACTACGACACACTCAGTAAATTGAAATCCACAACACCCAAAGAAGGGGTTAAAATCTAAAGAATGCAAGATTGCCACTCCTAATTGTCATTAATTTCCTTGTTAAACCCAGGGAGAAATCTGGTGGTGTATGATATGCCACCTCAGCCTTTTTTTTACATTTTTACATTGAGACTTCTACCATTACATTCACATGCTTACTCTCCCAGTTCAAACGCTCTAGTAAATAGTTACAACCGTACTCTATATTTTGACTTTGCAAATGAATCATACAAGGATGGTAAAGTGGCTACCAGATGAGGGGCATGAATTCTCTCCAATGTATGGTGAAGGATTTGATAAGTCATTCATTTTGATATACTCAATTGTCGTATTTCGCATTACAATTGGTTTGAACATTACTCTCCAGACATAATAGAAGTGGTTGGCAGACTAGAAAACCTGAAAAAAGAAACAGATATCACATTAGAAACATAGGCATGCTATGCAGGCAGGAGTTATTTTTTTGGACAGGTAGGTTGAAATGGGACACTATACAACTGATGCTGCTGTCTGAATAATTGTTGGCATAAATAAACTGCATTGGTACAACACTTCCTGCAGTCCCCTCCACAGCCCTAATTTGAACTTGTCACACAACGCTCGCTCTCTCTTTCCAACATTGCATGACAAGACCAAACAACAACCTGCTCGTAGGTTAAAATTATGCTTAATGCCGTTCCTCTCAGTTATTATTCTGACAATTAAGGGCCAGAATCAGAAATTGCGTTGGTTTTTCCTGCGCAAGAAAATGCACAAAAGTGCGCAGTTTTTAATTTGCATAAAGCAGTGTGGTGGACATAGCCTGGGAACAAGGATGAGTTTCGGCATCGAGTGTCAGTCAGATTAGAAGTACTGGCCACACATCAACAATAAGCTTGTTACAGTTTATACTCATATTTCGAGTGAACTTAAATATATTTATTTAAAGAACGACCCTAATACCGCGAATCACTTCTATTGTTAAGATACTGATGAAAACAACAACCCTTGGGAACAGTACTTTTTGCCGATTGTTTTAATTCGATTAATTAATACAATCATCTTATGTAAACATTGGCGATTAAATCCATCCGAAAATCAATATTACTGACAAAACAATTATATTTTTCGATCAAAAATAAAAAACTTGTGAAAGTCACTGCCAAATACCCTTAATTTCAACCAGTCGAAAAACTTGAGGTCTATAAAATGCCTTCTGATATATCGTTCCGAGGCAAAAAAAAACTTCAAAGGTTTGTTATTAGATGTAAGCAAGAGAAATCCTTTTAAACAAAGTCATCACGTTCAAATGCAAATTTTTAAGGAGTGATCCCGTATTTCCTCTGGTGATTTTGTTATTTCCAAATTGTCATGGACGGGCGTCAACTTGTTCCGAAGTCTAAGTCTCCATAACTCTTAAAGTTAACAAACCATAAAAAGTACTTGACAGCGATTTTGCGAAAACAACAAAGCCCTCAATTCTGCTGATCCACAAATCCGGCCCAAATATAGGCTCCATGTAGCCTCCTGTTCAGTAACAGATGGTTGCCTCAAAATATTCTTCCATATAATTTTGCAGTGTAAAGCTCTATTTTATCTCTTACAGCCTCTGGACAAAGATATTTACCGGTCTCCATTCTTCAAACAAGTGAAAGTAGATTGAACCAAGAGAAAGTATCATTCTTCAAAGGATAATAAGGTGGGCTACTTGATTGGCTGTCGCATATCTGGACTTTGCCCGGTGAGTGTAAAATATGTGATAAAATGGAGGTTGTTTACAGGAAATTGACACGCAGTGGGGTAAAGTCCAGGTTAGCTAAAAGCGAATTTTATGGGTAGAAAACGTCTAAGCATGTGAGGGTTGCATGGAAAATTAACCGACTGTACCATTCTGTCCCTCCAGGAAATATTCTTCATTGGGGTAGATTTATGTCATAAAATGTACATTTGTTTACTGGAAAATGGCTTTTCATCTAAGAAAGTCTAATCCATACTGGCGAGTAAAAAGTAAACACGCAATTAATTGTCACAGGAAAGTAGTAATATTTAATTCATGGAGAACTTTTAGAAGCAAAGAAATGGATATGCAACATAGCAGTCAACGCAGAAAGTAAATGTAACTTGGTGGTCGTTTCAACTGCTGCTAAAAGAGGAACCATATGGCGAAAAAAAAATACTATCATTCAAATACGATTTATGCAAATGTCTTGCGCAAGTTTTACCACAGTCAGCAAAACTAGTCCTTCCAAAACAACACGCTATAGCGCTACATTCGTGTTAGGCCTTTAGATGACAGTGCGTGTGTCGTAAGTGCAGGAGCGGTACACAAAACATGCACGTTTTAACTCGCTAATCGGTAGAAAAAGTTCCCTGACGACCTTTCAAATCCAGACAGATCATAGCAATGAAATCCTCACAAAGGAAATGTGCCATTACATTGAACAGATGATCTTACAACTCTTGTAGATGTCATCTTACCTCATTCCTTGAGGCAAATTCAAAATTGGAATCCCTGATTAACTCATATATAGCAATGAAATATCCTGAAGTTACTCCTATCAACATCTGAAGTAACATTTGATTAAAAATTTTTCTAATGTTCCACTCAGTCTCCTTTGGAAGGAAGAATAAGCATAGTCGTACTACGATCACAACTCCACCGCTTTCTCGATACAACTGATACATTTCCTTAATTCGCGAACTGCTCTCTCCAACTCACGCGTTGATTCGCTGAAATTTGAAGACCTGTTAAACCACAAATTAGCAAGAACGCTCTGATTGGTGTGACATGGAAAAAAAACCACAATTTGATTGGTTTGTGATACACCCAAAAATTGGGCCAATCAGATTGCTTTGAGATATACCAAAAAAAAGATGCGCCAATCAGATTGCTTAGAGATACACCAAATTGTGCTGATCAGATTATACTTCACCACAACACACCAGTCTATATGCTAACATATCGTTATATTTTTAAAAAAATAACTCAAAAATACAAGTAACTTCTTACTAATCAAATGCAAAGGCTATACTGGGGAAAAATTGACTCAAGGTCATGGCAATTACAGACAGGGTGCAGAGTGATTTGCTTTGTAGAATAAAGGAGCATCTACATTGTTATTGGCGACATCACCTTGGCCTCTGTCCTCCAAAGGATCATAAGTCAGAACCAATCAAAATGCCTGAATGAAACTTAACCTAGTTTTTTCGATCAAAAGTACTTTCAACTAAGTCTGTTCGTTTACTTGTTAAGTCTTTTCTCAAAGCAAATAAATAACTTTTAGAAGGCTAGATTAGGCTATATAAAGAACTTGTTGTGAGCCGCCGCCATTTGGGTATGTCGGACACGTAGTGATGTTACACTTCGTTGTCTTTTACGCTCAATAGACACTTAACAACAAGCCTAATATTCCCACTTCCTTCCTGTGAAATAATTAAACGGCAAGCAAGTCTTTACTTTTGCTTCTCTTTAATAAAACATATTGTGTTACAACTTCATTCATCATGTGTATTAATTTCATGACGTTCAATTCGTAAAACGAAGATTGGTGAACCAAAAGGGCAACGGCTTGCACTGATAAGTTCTTTATATAGCCTTATCTATGATATAATATAATATAATAGTTATTTACTTGCTTCGAGAAAAGGCTTAACAAGTAAACGAACAGACTTAGTTGAAAATACTTTTGGACGAAAAGACTTTCGGACGAAAAGACTCTTGGACGAAAAGACGGGACACCTTAAAAAACCTACTATAGACCATTTCAAAATTATCTGAACCATGCAAATTTTTAGCATTGAGTTAAAATTGAAGGAAATCATATGGAAAACACTGATATCATCCAAACCGTCTTTTGGATTCTAAGAGATTTAACAAATTTACACGTAGAAGCTTGCATATTACGTACAAGTAGATAATTTGATGAAACATGCTGAAGGCTAACTTCACTTCTACCATTTATTTTCAAAAGAGCTTACATCCTCTTGCTACTAACACTTAGTGGTAGACAAAGCATACCATAAGCTGCTTGAATATATTGGTTCAAGTCCGAAATAAGTAATATGAAATAAGATGTCTGGGATTTGAAAACTCCTCTGGGTATGAATTTTAAACTGACGAAAAACCATGTTCGTAAAAGAGAAAATCGCGGATCGGTGCGTGAACTCTATTAAGAAGTGTAGGGAGATTTGTCGAAGCAAATGAAAAACTTTTGCCTGAGTTCACTTGACGAACAACAAGTTTAAGACTGTATTGAAACGTTAAGACCTAGGTCGTGACATCAAATGGCTATCGATTGATACCGATCGAGTAAATCAACACTATTTACGCTATCGAATGAATCCATGGAGGATTCATACTACGCTAAATGGACTGATATCAATGAACCATCATCAGTTATAGAAAACGAGCTTACACCCCAAAAGAATCAAAGAAGGCGAGAGAAAAAGGTTACTTACCCGGAAAATGATGATAAATTGCTCTTCATTCAAGCCGCCATTTTGATCGAACGATATGACCAATAGCATCACCTCTAATATTAGGAGCGCGAGAGATGGAACGTTCTCATCTTGCGTTTCATTGGCTCTGATTTGAGAAGCTGAAAATATTTTTTACTACGAGGGTTTCCTCATCAGAAAATTATTTACTGGTAAAATCTCTTGAGAAAATGGTTCACACTCAGAGTTGATGAGCGATCATCGAATTTCCACCTAAAGCAATTCATTGATATACCGTTTTCCGAGTGTTAAGAAATAATACAAACAAATATCGCAATACATACGTACGCGTGGCCTGTAATAGGCTTTTGATTCTCTGTAATAATTATGGACAAAATATAAATAGCAATAGCTTCAGTACGAAAATAGTGCGATAAATGTTCGAAAAGTCGATAATGTGTAGGCCTAATAAATCAAGCAAGGTTCAAAGATTCTGTGACGATGTGTTGTTACGTAACGCGCGAGTTTCCTCTCAGTCTCAAGAAATGTAACTAAGCAGATGTCCTCTTGGCCTAAGATCCTCGCGGTCAAAAATTAGGCAGATTTCTCCATCGATAGCCTTCTGTATGATATGGTGGGCAGCCAGCCACCCTCGACTCCTTCGATGGGCTCGAAGATATTGATCAAGAGACTCAAGTCAGGCTTGTCACTTCACGGGTTTATTACGAACCAACATAATGACCTACTCTCAGTTGGCTTGTTAGCTCAATTAGTAGAGCACAACACCGGTATCGCACAGGTCATGGGTTCGAATCCCGTACGGGCCTGAACTTTTTTTAAGGCCTTATTTTCACTACTGCTGAAATAGTGCTCATTGCTGCGAGGGTCGTTCCCACACTCGTTAAGTCAAACTGTAATCTTTTCATCATGGCTGAAAAAAATTTGGTGGACCAATTGTAATATTTAGCTCTCTTTTCTTGGTATCAGAACGCTTTTTTAAGTATTCTTAAATACTGCAACCTTAATTCGAAGGAATCTAAAATTACAAAAAAGATTACCGAGTAACACATGTGATCGTAAACCAGGTAAGCTCTCCATCAGCTGATCGATAAGAACGTGCTGTTTGCATTGGAAAAGTTACCAACAAACCATGCTACATTTAGGATGAAATCAAGTTAAGAATGGAAATTCTATGAAGCAGATACCTTTGACTGTTGCAGGAGGTGCTTCATTTTCGTCCATTGACTTGTACATTTTTGATACAACTGCGATGATCGATTATGTCATACGATTTAAATATTAAATGCACTATCATGACGCTGCAACGAAGTTCCGGTACTATATTAACCAGATTAAAAGTTATTCGACGAAATCTTTCAATTCAGTATCTCTTCTCATAGCAAAGTAGGAATCGTTGGTGCATAACGGGTAAAATAACTAAATAACTAAGGTGGGTAACTATAGCAATTTACGGAGAAAGAAAACATTCCACAGTTCTACGCCAATGTAAGCAAATTTACTTCCGGTCATTTTGAAAATCTTGCGTGACCTGCGATCGGCTGTTCTTTATGCATGACCTTCTGTCGGCTTCTCTTTTTGCGTGACCTTCGATTGGCCGTTCTTTTGCAGAGTACCAAACTATGCAATACGGAGCTGACCAGTTGGACCAAACCAGGCTGCTTTTCGCACTGCCCTGGTAAGCGCACCCACCAAAAATAACAACCTCATGATCGCAGCCCCTCAAATATCAAGGGATAGCTTTCAGTGAGGGGGGCTGACGTAAATGAGAGGGGAGAGGGCAGAAAACGCTTTTCGTGGATGCTCTTGTCTCAGAACTGAACTCTTCTCTGCTTGAAATATCCAAAATGGTGGCCACTCTTTTTACGAAGAAATGCTAAGCGTTCGCTTGTAAAGAATACATGCGTGCTGCAAGGTGGATCGCAGGTTGTGTCTTGTATAACTTTTACAAGGTAGCGCGTGACTCAAAATTATGTCAGCATGAGTATGGTGGTTTGCAACCAATCTCTAGAGACACAGTTAACAAAGGTGAAAGGAACAAATGTTGGTGGACGAACGAAAGAAGCTGATGGGATATCTATTGTTTACGTCCACCAACATGCCGGCAAAATCCCTACAAATTTCTCACCGTGCTCACAAGGAGAACTTGTTTTACAATCAAGAGCTCCTTTAAGTTAGTTATCATTTTCATTATTTTCGTGACCTCTTGCAAGGAGAAATAAGATACCAGTCACTCTTACGGGAGGGAGGGGGGTGAAGTGTCAAAATAACAATTACCGAGTACTCATGTGATCTGGAAGCAAGTCAGCTCTCCGTCAGCTGATCGACGAAAACCTGTCGTGTGCGTTTTAAAAGCTACCAACAAACCACGCTAAATTTAGGAGGGAATTAAGTTAAAAATGGAAATGTTATGAAGCAGATACCATGGCTGTTGTAGGAGGCGCTTCATTTTCGTCCATCGACTTGAACATGTTCGAAACAACTGGGATGTGAAAAAAAGAAGCGAAGTGACGATCGGTTATGTCACACGATTTGAATAAATACCAACGACACTACCAAGACACAGCAACGAAATACAAGAAATATATTAATCAGGTTAAAAAAAAATCAACGAAATATTTCAATTCACTGACTCTACGTATAGAAAGGTAGGAATCGTTGGTGCACAATAAGTAAAATAACTTATTTAAGTATACACGGTCGTATACGTAAACACCCAAGGCTATTCACGGCGAGAGAGAAAACATTCCCCAGTTCTAATTCCGTGTAGGATGTAATTAAAGTTACTTTTGGTCCTTTTGGGCTGAATACCTTGCGTGAACTGCGATCGGCTCTTCTTTTGGCGTGACCTGCGATTGGCCGTTTTTTTTTTCTTTTTTTTGCTCTTTTAGTGGGAACACCAAATTCTCCACACCCACAAAAAATAACAACCTCATGATCGTAATGGAACTGAAGTAAACGACAGGAAAACGCCTTTCATGGAATTTCCTCTCTCTCAGCTTGAAATATCCAAATTAACGGCCACGCTTTTCACCTGAAGAAATGCTAAGCGCTCGCTTGTCAATACATGTGTACTGCAAGGTGGATCGCAGGTTACATCTTGTATGCCTTTCATACATTCATGATGGCACGTTACACAGTGAGTTGGGTCCTCCGTGCCGTTTCACACTTAACCCTGTGGCCAGACTCTGGTAATATAGACATACAAGTATTCTACTTGGGAATCATCCGCAAGGCCGATTAAAAACACAAAGTGTTAACTCGGAAAGTGGAAAGAGAAGTGCGAACGAGCGCACGAGAGAACCTAACCTCTTGAGCAGTGCTCTAAAACAAAGGTTGCTTTCAAGTGATCATTCAAAGTCTTCAATGTTTTTTTACGAGATCTATTTCAAATTGGTTCATGAAAATTCGCCATGCCGGTTATGTTAACCGCGCATACTTCGAGAGACAATCGCGTCGATAGAATACGAAGACGCTTTAGACCTTCAGTCAAGACAGTGTTGCTGAGTGCTATATAATTATATTAGATTATGGGTTCGAAATTTCTAGCGCAGGATAGAGGGCGTGTAGGAAGCCAAAATCAACTACCGCGCATAGAAATCGAGTGATCGAACCAATTTTGTATATACCTACTAGTCTTAAAAAAAAAAATAAGAAAAAAAACAGGCTGTTGTTTATTTTTTCTTTCTCTCGACAACCGCACAATTTCGGGCTTCTCACTTCACTCACCATCTAACATTGAATAGATACCGAGTGGTGTAGCCAATCAGATTGCAGTATCTGTGCTACAACGCTAGTGGATTTGTACCTATACTCGGTATGAAACAAATGCTCTAGAGGAAACTAACTCGATAATATGCTAACCTAGCGACACATCCAGTTGGTAAGAAGTCATTCAGTAACCTCACTATTGTAACAAGGTGCCGTATCGCAAGTGTTAATGGGACACAATTACTGACTTGGTTTTTACCAGGGCCCAGTTTATTGTAGGCCGATTAGCGCTAACCCAAGGTTAAATTTTCTCGGGTTTCTTTATTCTTTTGCGCAAGAGCCTTTTCGTGATAATTTTCTCAATTATTTTTAGAGTATCCAATCATCAAATTCTAGACTACAAGAATTAAGTTAAATTTTCCTTTAAAGCCTTCAGATCCGAGATCAGATTTCACACTAACCCTGGGATATCTCAACCCAGCTTTGAATAGCCCAGCTAATGTTTGCAGCGCGCACTTTCCGTTTTCCATCTCCTTAACCCTTTGCACCCTAACATCAGTATGCATATTCTCCATACTGTTCGCTATAAATTCCTTAAGGTGCTGGCAAGGAGAATTTGTTTAACAATCAAGAGCTCCTACAGTTGGTACTCAGTCTTTTTTCTCGTGACGTTAATGCGTGATTCAGTGATGTTGCAAGAAGAAATTAGACGCCAGTCACTCTTAGGGATTTCAGGGTTAAAGAAATAGCAAAATATGTTCATTGAGACCAACGTATAGAATTATGCTGTTTTTTCTAAATCGTATCAGAAACAATCCCAACACCTGAGCACTGTGTGTTGCAACAAACACTTCTCGTGTTCAAAAAGCAAGTTGTGTAGCTACGCTGCAAAATGTTTCCTTTCGAGTGAAGAAAAGCCTTGATTAAAAAAAAATGTGTCCTTAGCTTTTTTTGGAATCTTATGTAACCTACTCTTGTAGACAACTGGACTATATGTAATACAAAATTCACAGAAAACCGAAAAATATTTGGGGCGAAGCAGAGTATGAACACAATTTGTTCCTAAGCTGGGTGCAAACGGGATCTCTTCATGGCCGGCCTTGATAGAAAAAAGAAATGTGTTCTTAGCCTTTTTGGAATCTTACATAACTTAATAAAGACTGTTTCTCTTATAGACAACTGAGCGCATATGTAAAACAAAATTCAGAGAAAACTGAATAATCTCTGGATTGTTGCAGAGTGCGAACACTCTTCGTTCCTAAGCTGGGTCCCAACGGGATTTCTTGACGGCTGGTTTCTGTGGTTTTGACGATTGGAGCCTGTCAGGGGGTTTAGCTGTACTGTGATGACTTGTAGCGTCCCACGTGTTAGATGCTGAGGAAGATGCCGCGCAGAAGTGAGACTTATACTGGGCCTGAGGACCAAAACGTGAAAGACTTTTAAGAATATATAAACAAAGATTAAGTCTCCACTGGTATGATTTGTTCGGGTGGAGCAACACAACAAAGGTAATAACAAATATAAAAGGACCAAACTGTCCACAGGAAGCCGAAGAGATTTTTTATTCGTTGAAAAAAAGGGGGAAAATGGGTCAAGATTGTGACAGTTTACCCTCTAAAGTGACAAAGTTTTCATGAGAAAGAAACTCATATCAAGAACCTGAAAAGCAGCCTTGAGAGCCGAGGTCCGATCGTTTCTTGCCGAAGAGCCGAACACTCCTCCCGAAGCCGAAGATGACGACGGACGAAAAGATGTTTTTGAGGACGAGGATGATACGAAAGACGATTGTGGATACGATGATTCTGTATACGAATACTGTGCTCCTCTGCCATCACTGGCTTGGTTTCCCTGTGGAGAGATACGACAGATAATCTTTTGTGAGTACCAAATAGGCTCCAATTTAAAAATTAAAACTGAATTTGTTAAAACTTTGTCGGACAAAACCTTTTTGGAGTAAACAAATCAATACTATTTTTCGTCCAGATATTTTGCGAGCCATTTGGGTCCGCAAGTCTGGCGAGAGCAAACATAAGGTTACCGACGATGCCAAATAGCGTTATTTACCGACGATCCCTGCATTCCTAGGCCAGGCCTCTCACGCATGCGCGGTCTTCCTTCCCTTCCACTGGCTTTTCCCTTGCCTTGTCGAAAACGAGACTTCCTGAACCAAGCATTCTACAGACGAGAGCGAGAAACATTTACATGCAGTGGACAACAGGACAAATATCACAAAAGTATCGAAAGTAAACCGTGTTTGCATCGGTTTTACTTAATCTCGTGCTGTGATTGGTCCACAAAACTAGAGCCATCCTCTCAACCAATCAGATGTAGACTTAAAAGTACAAGCGACTTGGTCTGACGCGTTTCTCGTTATGGGTAGTTCTCGTAACAGGTTCCTTACGATCTTTCTCTTCCTTCTGACGATACTCAAAGAAAATACAGCCCGTCTTGCGACTGTATTGTACGCCAGGTAAATAGAGTGCTTTTCGAATGAGTCGTAAATCAAAACCAAAGTAATAATGACGGCCAACTAAAAGAAATAAATATACTTTGAAGAGCTAATGAGAACTCAAAGTAAAAACAAGCAAACCTCGTAATGCGCGAGAAAACGCGGGAAAACGCGGGAAAACGCGGGCGACCAATTGGTTGAGAAAGTGGTGTGAGTTTTCTGGACCAATCACAGAGCGAAATAAAACAAAACCAATGTCATTCCGGATTACTTTCAATACTCGATAGAACATTGCTCTAGAATACAATCGTGATTCATAACACAAATAACCGTCACTAGCTGCGGAAATACTAGGATCTGTCATCGCTGAAATAACATACGAATAAATAGATAGTTTTGCCTCTAGATTTTCTCTCACATTCCTAGAAGTTAGAACCCACTTGAATAATGTATACAACTGCATAGTGGACAACTAAGTAACTTTCAATCGAATGGCTGTATATGCAGATCAATGGCACAATCTGAACAACAGCTCACCTATCTCTCCTTTAACCGAACTGGAGTCAACTGATGTATTTATTATTACAAATGGCTGAAAATCCGGTAGGAAAAATCGCGCAATATTTACATATTCAGCAAAGACAACTTGTAAACGACATTAGTCAAGAACATTTTCCGGAGTACAATTTCTTATCAACCCTTTGAGAGTTTCCTGACAAATGTCGTTATTGAGTCATCCACCCTTGCAGTTTTTGTCGCTGACAAGTTTTTCTGGCAGAAGTCTGCCTGTTCAAAACCTGGAATAACAGATATTGGACGAGTGAATTTATCGCTAAAAACTTGTCATGATTGACAATCTACAACCACACTGGAAAAAACTTATCAGGGGATAACAAATCAAAGTAAATGCGTCGACAAACTCGCAAACGTTAAGTTTTCACGAGTCAAGAAAGATGTTTTAGGGTTTAAAAGTAAGAACCTTCATTGCCATCTCCATCAAGGCCTCAGGGACCACTTGATTAGCTCCTTCCTAAAAAAAAAAAAGTATAATGGGTTAGAGCAAGTGGATGTCTACATAAGTCGGAAAATTGCATGGAGTGATATTTTTGTCATTTCGAATTCGCACGCTTTTCAACGTTTCTCTTCTCTACACTTACCAAAGTCTGCGAAAGATATATTCACAGGGACAAATTTTGGTAAACTTTGAGATGAGTTAGACAGTGCAGAAATGAAAACGAAAGCTTTAGCCTATTTCAACTCCATTATGATGGAGGTTAACGTACTCTACGGGTAGGATCTACTTGATCACAGTTTCTGGAAGCCGTTTATTCTTTCTTTCTATTTTTTGTTTTGTTTTGTTTTCTAATATTGAGCTTTCCAGCTTGTGAGATAAGACATGCTTCTACATTATCTTTATTTTAACCGGTTTCCTCGGAAAAAAAATTAATGAATATGGCAACACTTACCAAATTTCGCACAAGATCCCCTGAAAAGTTCTGATCAGAAGACGTAAGAAGGGTGTAGGCCACACCCTTTTCTCCTGTAACGAAAAAAGGTAAAGATACACGATCAAAAATAGCAATGGCAACAGAACTGCCACAATACCAATCACTTCAGTGTTCACCTTTTGGCCCTGTATATGTGATTCCCAGTACTACTTTTCAAGTGTTATAAATGAAGAGAATTTGGTGTTTCATCTAAATCACATCATCCAGTCAGTCAATTTTTCTATTCGTATCACTTTTTTTTTGTTCTTACTGGATAATGCCTTGATATTGCAAGAAAAATACACCAAGTTCATTATTTCCAGGAGTGACTCGCTTCCTGCAGTTCTCAAAAGCAGCAAAGAAAGCGTTGCTTTTACTTCAGGTCAATTTTCTTTTCAGAGTAAACGAGTGTAGAAGCGCCACATCGTATTTGCTACAGTTAGCAACCGAACAAACTTACCTGCTCTGCCAGTTCGACCAATCCGGTGCGTGTGCGTGTGGATGTCACGAGCCACATCGTAATTTATGACAGTTTTGATTGATGGAATGTCCAAGCCACGGGCTAAAATAAAAACCAACTCGTCAACACTACGCTGCTAAGCAGTCTAGTCAGCTCTCTTTCAGCCGTGCGGCAAAAGCGCGAGCTAAGCTAGAGTCGCGCATGCCTTCATGTGACTACCGCTTACATTAGGCTTTCCCCGCTTTGTTACGAGGCAACGGAAAAGGCTGCTGCGCAGACAAATTGAAAAAAAGGAAACGAAACAAAACAAACAGAGCTAATGCAGTCCTGAATTGTCTCACAAAATCATTGCACCAAAAAACTGCATAGGACCGTGCCGCACTACGAACCAGGAGTATCTGGAGGTTTCGCTCCATTACAAGTTTGCCCCTGACTAAATTAGCCCCCACTTCGACGAGTTCGCCCCATAAAATATAACAAACGAGACGTTAGCTTTGCCACGTTTTCTTCTTCTAAAATTGCTGCGTAAAAAGCGTCAAACACGCAGCAATCTCTGCAAACATCCTGTGTGCGCGCAGTTTCCGCGCTGAGTGAAATAACAGCATAGGTATAAGCGATAGTTCATATATTTCAACCTTTGGTTCCTACCTGCTACATCAGTTGCTACTAGAATAGGAATCTCTTGTCTCTTGAATGAATAGATGACTTTGTCTCTCTCGAATTGATCCATATCTCCGTGCAGTAACACCGCTGAGTATAAAGAGACCAAAAGCAATCCATGTTATATCAGTTAGATGTAAAAAGTGACACAGATCAAGGTAACTAAATATTTCCGTTTATAATCCAACAGATATTTTTGCTCGCGCGTGATTGATCAAAACGCATCACGTGAACGAATAACCCCCAGCTAAAACTGGGGGATATCCAAGGATATACCTAAAGTGTTATTCCTCAATTTTCAAACCTTACCTCCAATACGGAAAACTCTGCGCTTAAAATTCAATTCAAGATGGTAAACGTCGTGTGATTATTACAGAATAAGAAACATGTTTAATATTTAAAAGATAAATATTTAAAGATAATAAACACGACAACCTCCATTTGGCGCAAAAATATGCTCGTACATTTCACCTTAGACAAAGAACTGTTCGCATCTCAGAACAGATAACGACCGCGGATAAATATTCGTGCATATTTTCGCACCAAATAGTGGCTACTGCTTTGTATTTAGAGGACAGAAAGAGGGCTATTTCCATTCCCCCCCCTCCATCTAATTATGCACCGCCAAGGAGGGCAACCTTTTTCAACAGGGAGTCTGGGGGCTGGTCTTATAAGAGAGAAAACAAATGCAAAATCAGCTTCTTCCTCAAGGAGACACGGTGGCCTGTTAATAGAGGGCGTTTAACTCCTGATCCAGAGGCGATAGTGTTTATTCCCTCACAGGTCGCCTCAGCGGTAATTTGTCACGTGCTGTAACGATTTGCTGATGCTCATTGTTGGAGAGCAATCTGAGTTGCACAAGAAAGATCGCCATTCCAAGAAGAAAGTTTGAGAGACAGGCTTGAGAAAACAATGGGCATTAAAAACCGACATGTATGCAATAATCTAAGAATTACCTTCAAAATCTTTGGTTTTGAGTTTTGATGCAAGCTCTTCACTGTTAGCCTTTTTGGTCACAAAGATGAGCACACTTCCAGCTTAGAAAGAAACATTTTTACAGGTACTTGAGAGAAGTACAAACTAACGTCAATTAAGACAAATTCCTGTGTAACAAAATTGAAATTCACGTTGATGAAATGTTCCAAACAATTCAAGGATCAGGACCTCTTTAAAAAGCGAAACCTTCCTTAAAATGGAAAACAAGTTACCTACAATGAAAATAAAAAAAAATTGGGATTACTTCACTCGTACAGCAAATAACGAAATTACCAGTTTCCGAGTCTTTTAGAGGGAACTATATCGAAGAGGCGAGATTTATACCCGTGGAGTACCTCTCCCAAAAAGGACACTCATCTGGAGGCTATCTCACCATTTTTTTGTAGCAGTTTTCGTTGTGTTACCTGATGTAAAAGAGACTAAATGTCTTGTTAGCCATGTCCATTTATCATTGATGCTTGGCAAGATTTCTACGATCTGTGTTACATCTTCATTCGCCTGGATTAAGAGAAAATAGATAGGAGATTAAGAACAGAACAAATTTTGCATTACGTTAATGAAAATTAGTCTGTTTTTCTCAAACTTTCAGCCCTATCTCAGACAGGAAAATTTTGCAGAGGTCTTTTTTTTTCTTTTTGGGGTATTTCAATTTTGCTAGAACAAATTCAGTTTGCGGTTCGAGTTGATTTTTAACATTATTGTTACGCATGTGCAAAATGCACTACAAGGGCTAAACCTCGGAACTGAACCGTTTGCTTGCTCCCATGATGACTGGACGGGTTTTCAACTACAAGTTTGTTTCCACTCTCTCGTCGATGACCGATAATTGATCATCAGAAACTTATTCTTAATTTGTTGTACATGTCTTTCTTCCTCAAACAATTGTTCCTTACCTCGCCAAGCTCACCCACGACAACTCTAATAGGATCTGTCAAGATATCCCGACAGAGCATCTCGACTTTTTTCTTAAATGTCGCACTGAAAAGCAAGGCTAAAACAACGAAACAAACAAACAACTCAAAACAATGATGATATTTAAACTCAGATGGCCTGATTAGAGATGAAAATTTTATTAACGGACGAAGCGCAGGTTGCAACTAACCGTCAGTTTTGTGATGTTGAGTTACATATTAGGGCAACAATCACTGATTTATTTATTCATTGTGAAAAGAATAATGAGTTGAAAAGAAGAGGTACTACTCACTCTGTCTATCGGGACGAACGTTATTTGCAATCGACCTCACTTGGGGCTCTAGAGAAATACATTCAGTGACATTAAAGGATAAGTGTCAGGTTTTGATAACCACGACAGAAATAAGCAAGATGTCCATATGTGTTCATTTACACACCATTAAAAGACTCCGAAAGCATAAAGCACCTTTTCAATTTAGGAGAAACGATTGGTTTCAGATTTGAATTTGATTGGTTTAGAACGAGGCGGGAATTTATTGAACCAAACACAGAGCAAAGTGAAGCAAAACTAACACAGTCCCCCACTACTTTCGACGCACAATTGAAAACTTACTTTGTTCAAGCGATGCTTGTTCATGATGTTCTTAGCCGTATGGTTTACATACCAAATCCCATGTCAAACATCCTGTCAGCTTCATCAAAGACCAGATATGTAACTCTTTTCAGGTTTGTGCCCTTTGCCTTCACATGATCAATCAGACGGCCCTAGCGTTGGATAACAATATAATTAAAAAACTGATAAAATGAAGCGTTAAGGTTGTGTATGAGGGTTACCCAACCACTTAAGGCTGCAGTCATTTTAGATAATTTTAAGAGTGGCTAACCCACTACCAAAAATGAAAATGAGCAATTAGGTCGCTCTTTAATCCGCATCTATTTTATTTTTGTTTTTTTGTTTTTTTTTTCGATAAGGAAGCATGTTTCGTTCAAAAGGCGTGCAGAATGGCACTAATAAAAAGTCTTTGCTTAAAGAATATGTCAATGAACCTGGAAAGAAAGAAAAACGACTGAACCTAGTTTAAGATCATTTTGACCTATAATTCACTGTAAAAGATGGTGCTATTCAGTGAGCGCGACACAAGCATACTTGAAGAAAAAGAACTCCGTGTGCCCCCATTAACAGTTGAACCTGCGACCTTCCAAATAATTAGTACATGTATTTCAGATGCTCTACCACTAAGCTTTAGGGAGACTCATGACAGGCTGGACCGTTTAACTGAGTTCATGATGACAAACTTCCGACATACCGCTAGCTTAGAAATGTTGAATGTGACGCTCTTGCACAATGATGATGATGCAAGGAGGAACATTTGAAGCCGGGTAATTTAATAGAAAGATCATGTTCATTTTCTACATCTGCACAAGGAAACGTTTCCTTACCGGAGTTGCAACAACAATTTCTGCTCCTTCCTGAAGAGCCTTTGACTGTTCATACTTATTACCCCCACCAAACACAGCCACAGCGTGGATGTTGTAAACTTTTCCAAACCGCCGAGCCTCAGCGAAGATCTGCTGGCAAAGTTCTCTGGTAGGGGCACAGATCAGGGCTATGGGTCCGTCACCAGGCTCTAGCTCGGGTTGGTCCATAATATGTACCAATGCTGGCCACAGGAAGGCCGCAGTCTTACCAGAACCTGTTTTAGCAATGCCTATGATGTCTCGGCCACTAAGTGCCACAGGGATTGCCTGAAAAAGGCCCAGAGGTATGATTCATGGATCTCAATTCTGTTAGATTTTCTTAAAAAAAGACCCTGGTCAGCCACAGTGGTATGAGGAAAAAAGGCTTTTCCTTCCCTTTCCCACTTAGTTAAGTACCCTGCAAGCCACAGTTCAAAGGAGTGTCACGGGGGAAAACTGAAGTTTACCTTTTTTATTAGCTGTGTTTAATGCAAATGAAGAATTAATTGACAGCAATTTAGTTACAGTGAGACCATACTGGCATATTGCTAAACAAAAGTTCACCAAGACTGATATTCAAAGTTATAAATTTAGAATAAAATACAAAAGGATATCTCAGAGAAAATAATATACCTCTACTTGTAAGAAATCATTTTTCAGGAGTAAGCCAAAACTTCTATTTTAGTGTATTTCCTAATTCAGTATTTTTAGGGAGTTACTATCAGATGGTTTCTGATGACCTTCTCTCACTCATTCTATCCAAGGAGTGATAAGGATAATAGCCAGCTACCAGAAGTCATGCAGGCTTGCCAAACACTAACAATGTGGTGTGGTACAGATATTTCATACTACTGCATGCGATGTTAGTTCTTGATTTCCGTCATACCTGACACTGGATAGGTGTTGGCTGTGTGTATTCAGACTTCCTGATTGCACCCATGAGCTGTTCATCAAAACTAAAATGTGCAAAACTGATGGATGGCTTTGTAGGCTGAGCTCCCGACACCTGTCAATCAATTACGACAATGAAGTGTACATGTACATACTGAACTTAAAAGGAATTATCAGCTGAAGCAAGTTTGCATTGATTTAACCCACTTAACAAATGGTAGACAACACAGCGTACACTATTGAGTTATAGATGCACGCGGGAGGTTGCTAAACACGAAAGAAGCGTAAGAGTTGCTCGAGGCTAGCACCTCGAGCGACTCTAGCTTCTTGAGTGCTTAGCAGACCTCCCAAGTGCATCCATAACTCAATANTTAAAGTGCACCTAAACCCAAAATTTTTTTTTCGCTTAACGAAATAAGCTTATTTTTTGGAGTATTTCTGTGCAAAATTTTTTTAATTTGCTCAAATCTTTAATTTTCTATGCCCAGTCAAAATACGGAAAATCGGCCGCCATCTTGCCCCACGACCGAGTTTAAAGAGGAATGGCTCTAGTGGGTAATGTGACGTCAAATCGAGAACACGAAAGTCTGCATTTCACACATTTTCACTTGTTTGGGAAGGTTGTAGTCGATAATTGTCCGAAAATATGCCGACTAAGTGTGTTGTAGAAGGATGTAGCAACGTGCGAAATTTGCAAGAGGGTATCGCGCTTCATACATTCTTCATACAACACACCTAGTCGGCATATTTCGGACAATATCGACGACAATCTTCCCAAACAAGTGAAAATGTGTGAGATGCAGACTTTCGTGTTCTCGATTTGACGTCACATTACCCGCTAGAGCCATTCTTCTTTAAACTCGGTCGTGGGGCAAGATGGCGGCCGATTTTCCGTATTTTGACTGGGCATAGAAAATTAAAGATTTGAGCAAATTAAAAAAATTTTGCACAGAAATACTCCAAAAAATAAGCTTATTTCGTTAAGCGAAAAAAAATTTTGGGTTTAAGTGCACTTTAAATTTTTTCCATAAAAATTGCATAAATTGATGCTTGCCAATTCCTTTTGTAGTACATTGAAAACACCAGTAAGAGATTTTTTTTAATCATGTAGAAAAATCAGTTTTTCAGTTTTTTGTAAACCCAGTTCAACCAAACATATTTTGCCACTGTGAATAGGGTATTACCGATACATGTAGTTTAAGCTATTAACCTTGGTTGTTGTTTTCCATTCTTTTCCCAAACAGCCCCCGCAAAAACAAAATTTAGAAGTGCTTGACATATATTCAGTCTAAAGAATACTCTAAAAGAACTTTCATACAGTTTATAACCCACCTTCATTCCCAATTTTCTCCTTAAATCCTGAACGTCGTGGTTAGTAAGTTTTGCAATTTCCTCATGTTCAATGTAGAAGTTCTTTTCAAAAGGTGGGTAGTCAATCTTAAACAAGACAAGAACATGCCAAAAAAACTGGTGAGAAGTGCACCAAGGCAGAAAGTGACTAGAAAACAATTGAAGATAAAAGGAGAGAAAGAGCAGTGTTCTCTTGAGATTAATCAGAAGCCAGCCTTGAAGGAGTAGCAAACAAGTGAGTGACCAAATGCCATAAGCATAATTTGACTCCTTCTAAAAACAAGGTAGTTTGGCAGAGTGGTTAGAGCACTGGACTTGAAATTTGGTGTTCCTGAGTTCAAGTCCTAAACCCAGCTACTAACAGGACTTTTTCTCAGTTGTGCCAAGTTCAACTCCTTGGTTGCACTTTGTACATGGCTAAATGGTTTGCCTTTGGCAAGTTGGAATTTTTTTACTTAATGTTTTTCTAAATTTGTTTCAGTGGACAAGAAAGGCCACCTAGTGGAATATCCTCCGCTAAATCCAATTCTTTTTATTTTTATCCCCATTATTTAGTATCTGTTACCCTTGTGTTTACTTATTGGTTTCTTTCTAGTATAATTTATAAGAAAATAGAGCAAACATTACAATTCCTTTCAGATTAAAACAGGTATTTCTCAGTTTTGTCTTATAAGAGAAGGCGCCTCTTTTGAAACACATTGACATTCAAATGTCAACTTCAAGCATGTTTTTTTTGGACACTGGTAAGGGAAACTGAAAAGAATAATAAAAAATATATAACAGTATTAAAAAATGGTATTAAGGCTACCTCGAAGTGGTCCACTGCTGGAAGTGGCACAATAATCTGCAAAACAAAACAAAACAAAAAGAAAAGCAAATAAATTCACAAGTCACAATGAAGATCAGTAAGTCTCCTTGACAGACAAATCACAAATTACTCAGAATTTTGGTTTTATCAACTGAGTTGATAATGTAACTTGGCCACAGTTCAGAGTTTCAGAGCTGAAATTAATCCTTCATTATTTGCTCAGATAAGGGGCTAACCCTCAACACGTGTGCTTTGAAACTCTTTAAAGTGGCTAATTTACATTATCAACTCAGTTGATAAATCCAAAAGTACCTTATTGTACTCTCCCACCGATGCAGCACCACAATTTCTTTAGGAACTTACCCCCCTCTTAATATCTCAGAATTACCTTGGACTTCTCAGGAGCGATTGGGTTTCCATCACTATCATACTCAATCTCTTCCTCATCATCAGGATATGCGATGACAGGGGCATTCTTAATGTAATTGAAATATGATTCTTGATCATCTTCTTCTTCGATGTCATCTCTTCTGCTCCTAATCACGTTATAAATTTTTACAGGTAATTAGTTTTGCTGGCATCGCTGCAACACGGCAAGCTTAAATTGCCCGAAATTGCCAAGTGAGCTTTATCAGCTGTGTTTAAAGGCCAGAAAGTAACCTGTAATGTTCTCATTGATCCAAGCTCTCTTCAAAAGACAGTCACATGGTCAGCTGTACAGTAAAGTACAGTTGGTTTATGAGCCAGTGCTTAACTCTGGTGTCCATGGCATGAAGCAACAAGTAGTATTTCTACTTCCCCCTGGATGGGATGCCAGTCCATCGCAGGGTTACCCCCCAGCATTAAATTTTCCGGTAGCCAGTTATACACCTGGGTGAAGAGAGGCACTGTGAGAGTAAAGTGTCTTGCCTAAGAACACAACAGTTGTACAGTAATACCATGTATTAGCGCACCAGGTCCACTATTCCCTTTGGTTTCTGGCAACTGAAAAATTACTTCTGGACACCAGTTTAGGATTTTAGGTCCCTAAATGGTGACTTAAAAGAAAAGCTTGTGGCTGAAACAGAACTTTTATCAACTGCAAAAACTGTTGAAAGAAGTTCTTTTTCACAGAAATGTCTCATTTGATTTCTAACTAGCCATAACAGGCCACGCTGCAGCCATGCCCTGTTTGAAAAAAAAAAATGCTTTGCATTCAATAGCTACTTCAACAGTTCTGTCTTGCTTGTTATAAATAGATTTTGAGTAGGAAATAATGTGTGCAATCTTTGCACGAACCTTGTCAAAAGAACAAACTAGATCTAGAATGAAACTAAAACATACTTTTTCTTGTCTTTATCGCTTTTTTCCTTTTCAGACAGATTTGCTTCCTTCTGCACTTCATTCTGACAGGATATCAAACACAACAAATGATAACCCTTTACACCCTAACATCAGTATGCATATTCTCCATACCGCTCTTCATACATTTCCTTAAGTCCTGATAAGGAGAATTTGGCTTATTTGGCTAGCCTCCATTTCCTTTATTTCTGTGACCTTTGTGTGTTATTCAGGGGTGATATTGTAAGGAGAAATTAGATGTTGGTCATTCTTATGGGTTGAAGGACTAATAAGAACATAACAATGAAAGGATTGACGTGGCCCTTACAACTGATATCAAGAGCTATTATAGAAATAAATAAATAAATAATTAGTTTATTTAACCCTTTGGTAGTGTTAAACACTAAATTACAAGGGAGACAATAAAATTCATTCAATTCTATACAGAACACAATACACTTGGCATAACAAGAAAAAACAATTAAGCCCTATAATTGTAACTGTGAGTAACAAACTTACAAAGGCAGTCTGTTTTGACGAAGCAGAATTGAGAACAGGAAAAACTAGTCCTCAACCCACAGTTTACAATCTTGCACCAACGTCTAAACGTTTGGAATTCCCTACCCTATCATCTAACTCTATCCCACAGATTCTCCATCTTTAAGATTTTGCTTAAAAAATTCCTTATTGACGGAAAAGTAAATTTGACTCGCCTATCCATAGTTAACCTATTGTACAATGTGAATGACTCTTAATTGAAATTTTATCTAGTTGAATTATAAATCGTTAAAAATAATATTATAATTATAGTTGTTCTTTGAGATTGCTGTAAACAACTGAAATTTATTTTTGTTTATGTATAAATGGCAAAATAGAATAAGTATACGGATAAAAAGTAGTATTATTTGTACTACCTAAATGTTTCTGTGAAGCATGATACAACCTCAACAGACAACCTTGAGTTCAAACACATACATTTTTTAGAGGTACATCTGTGGCTGTGCTGACTAAATAAGGTTTCTCACCTGTATTCCTGCCATGAATTTATCCAACTCATCTTCCTCATCATCATCATCTTCCACTTGCCGGCTGGATGGCATGTCTTCACCTTCGTCATCATCGTCAACAAATTTTGTCTCATCATCCTCATTATCACTATCTACAAAGATTCTACAAGTAAAATAATAAGTATAAATCACCTTGCATTATATCAAAAATGCTGCAATCATGTAAGCTACACTTCTTGCTATCTATTCCATGATAGTGGGTACCTTGGGAAAGTGCAGTTATTATCAAACATAGATGAAAATATGACCATGTCTTATCGTTAAGTCTTAATCATCTAGCAGATCTATATCAAGATAATTAGATAATTCAATCTCCATTTCTAGACCTGACAGGTGATTGGGACAAAAACTATCAAGAGATAGAGACTCCAAGCTAATGAAGTGTTTCATTAGTTAGTTTAATTTGTGTAATCAGGAAGTTTCCCAGTGGGGTGACCAAGATTATCTTGTTGGTTCAAAGACAGCAAAGTATTGTAAGGAAACAAATACTCCCATCAACCAAGGAAGGCCATGTTGCCATTTTGGAAAAATACAATTTAAAAAATTTACCACTGACACAAGGATGATTAACTTAAGATACAGATGTGCTTTTCTGCTGAATGAACGTTTACTATAATCCTCTCAAGAATCGTTGAAACATTTCCCTACTCCCCACTTGTCAATGTTGGCACCAAGAAATTAAAAAAAAGAAAAAAAAAAAAAAAAAGACTCAACACCGAGAGAGGTGTTTAATCAAGACTTGACATGAATGCTAGATATGAAATGGAGATTTTTCTTATCTGACTGGTGATCTGGCTAACATGGAATGTTAGAGTACTTAGACAAAGAAATATGATCAAATTTCGCCCAATAGATATTGAACTAGTGAACCTCCTATGAACTACCACGAGTTGCCAAGCCCTACAGTAGATAACTTACTAGCCAAAATATAAAGCACTGAACTTTAGAAAACGAAGCAAAATTTCGGTGTTGACATTATTTTAATGACGATCTTATTCAAAGACATTCTATTATCAAAAGAAAGTAAAAATAAATTAGTTGATCCTTTATCAGAAATACTTACGGTTTCCTTGCTCCTGGCAGAGGAAACGATGAAGTGCTTCGTACTCCCTGGCGATGGGATGATTGAGTTTTTTTCACACTTTCACCTGATCTGTTGACGGGCATCCCGCTCCCTATGTTACGTGGAAGGGGATCTTCCTTCTTAGCTGCTAGAGTAAATCCTCCAAAACCAAAACCTCTTTGTTTTCCAGGTCCTCCCTTTTGAAACATCTTGATTCAAACAATTCGAATTCTGAAATGTGTTATGTAGATGTTCTTGATCGAAGCAAACGACAGTAAAAACCGAAAGAATTTACGTGCATAAAATCTTCGATTACTCCATGTTCAATATTGAAAATTATTTTTTATCCAAAGTCCATAAAATCGTCCACAGTTCTCTGGATAAGTGAGAAATTAAAGTGTTTACTTCACGTTGACATTGCTATTGGTGTACGTCCGCCATTACCAGTGGATGCGCAGTTTGATCTAGAAATGGCAAATCTGGCGCACGACTCGCAAAAGTACCGCTGATAAAGATAGATGGCCAAAAAAAAAGGCCCGTAATGTGTTTGTGTCATGATCATATATCAAAAGAACACAATAAAAGATCGAGCCATTAACAATAAAAGATCGAGCCATGAGATTGAATCCTTCTCCAAGACCGCTCTGTAATTACGGTAGAAAATGACTGTCATTTCTCTTCCAGCTTTCTCTGTATATCAATGAGAGAGTTAGCTCAAAAATCAGAGAGACGATTACTTTAATTCTACCCATTTTACCATAAACCGATTTAAGTTCTTAGTCCGAGCAAAACTGTACTTCTAAAGTTCAACAAGTATGAATACGCTATCACAGGAAATCATGGTGTATCTAAGGCGCTTATTTTTTTTTTTTTTTTTTTACAACGTTCAAAACGAAATGGTGAATGTACAGGATACCTTTCATCAAATACGCGTTCTGCTCGAAAAGTCTCTAGTTTTCTTTTTCCCTACATCAAAGTTTTGCGCGGGAAGTTGGCGCAGCACAAACAGAATTGAACCACTTGCGCATGCCCGACGTGGGTGCTACGTTTTAGTTGAGAGGGTAGTCCAAATTGGTGAGAGAAATGAGTGGACGAGGTGAAGGAAAACTAATGCAGCCCGGATTACTTTCAGCAGTTCAACGAAAATTTCTCTAATTTAACCACTCCATTAAACAGATCGCGAGTTATAGTGGTGCTATTTTCCTTTTCAAAGCAAGGTAAACCAGATAAGTGGAGTTTCGAATAATTTTTAGCTTTTAATAAAACATTTGTGTTATTTACCGACCACCATATTAAAAGACCCACAATCAGGGAATTACGGTAGAAGGACTAACACGGTTTCTCAGTGGTGTCCTTTTTCCTATTTTCAGATTTAGAAAATAGCCTTACTTGGTTGCAGATCGATCCAATTTAAAGGCTCCACGATTGAGGAGATAAAATAGATTAAAAAAATAGATTAAAACCAAATAAATAGATATCTACACCAGTCAGAAAAACCCTTGCAACGTACAAGCATAGGAGGTTAGATGACTAAAGTTTGATAAACATCATATATACAATATATTTAACATGTTTAATAAGCAAATGGATTGATCTGGATAATGACTATAACGCATGATTGATGAACTAAAGATACTTAGTTCACTGTTAGGTGAGATTTAAGTCCAATAGTCTTTAGTTGCATCTTGCGTAGAGTTAAGAATATATGAAGTTGTTTTTCCAAGCAGATAATCATTTCCTCCCTCTTTAAGATAGCAATAGAGGAAGGAAATTGCAGTTTAGATCCGATGGAAATATGGAGCCTTTCGTGCGTCTATTCAATTTTTTTATCTCTGTTTTTTGGAGAAGTTAAAGGATGTTTAAAATCCTGCTATACTGGCAGCACAGCCTTTCCTGTCAAATGCTCCAGGAAGGAGGTTTATAAAAATCTTAACCCTGAGTGCAATTATCAACAGTTTAACATGAGTGAGATATATACTTTGCGGTTTCTGATTGTTCAAAGTCCTTTGTTTATTGTGTCAGTACATTCATCAAAAAACAAAACATCTTACAGAAATTTATGATGAATACTGCGTGTGTGCAAAAGTTTTGAGGGATAAAAGGCATGCTTTCATGCTGTTTTAATTACAACCAATTTTTCTCACAGGAGTATAAATACGCTATCACAAGAAATCAAAGTGTATCTAAGGCGCATATTTTTTCCACAATGCCCAAAACGAAATGGTGAATGTGCAGGATACCCTTTATGAAATACACGTTTTGCTCGTACAGTCCCTAGTTTTCTTTTTCGCTACATTATCGACATTTTGCGCGATAAATTGGTGCAGCACTAACAGGATTAAACCACTTGCGCATGCCAGACGTGGGTGCTATGTTTTAGTCGAGAGGGTAGTCCAAATTTGTGAGAGAAATGAGAGGGCGAGGTGAAGCAAAACTAATGCAGCCCAGATTACTTTCAACAGTTCATCGAAAATTTCTATAATTTAACCATCCTATTAAAAAACTCGCGAGTTACAGTGTTGCTATCTTCCTTTTCAAAGCAAGGTAAACCAGATAAGTGGAGTTTTGAATAATTTTTAGCTTTCAATAACACATTTGGTTTATTTACCGACCACCCTAGTAAAAAGAACCGCATCATGAAAATACAGTAGTTTCTCTGTGGTGGCCTTTTTCCTATTCTCAGATTTAGAAAATAATCTTAGTTAGTTGTTGATCGATCCAATTTGACGGCCCCACGATAGAGGGAAAAATGTATTAATACCGAATAAATAGATACATACACAAGTCAGAAAAAGGAAAACCCTTGCGGTATATAAGCGTAGGAGGTTAGATAAATAAATTTTGATAAAAATCATATATACAATATATATAACATGTTTAATAAGCAAATGGATTGATCTGGAGAATGACTATAACGCATGATTGATCAAGTAAAGATCCCTAGTTCACTATTTAAGTCTAGTCGTCTTTAATTGCATCTTGTTTTGAGAGTTAAGAATAGGTGAAGTTGTTTGTCCAACTTGTATGTAGATAATCAGCCTATTTTAAGATGGCAATAGAGGAAGGAAATTGCAGTTTTAAATCCGATGGAAATATGTAGCCTTTCGTGCGCCTATTCAGTTTTTTTATCTTTGTCTTTTGAATATATTAAAGGATGTTTAATATCATATACTGGCAGCACGGCCTTTCCTGTCGAATGCTCCAGGAAGGAGGTTTATAAAAATCTTTACCCTGAGTGCAATTATCAACAGTTTAACATGAGTGAGGTATATACTTTGCGGTTTCTGATTGTTCAAAATCCCTTGTTTATTGTAAAAGTACATTCATACAAACATCTTACAGATATTTTTGATGAATACTGCGTGTGTGCAAAACTTTTGATGGATAGGAGGCTTGCTTTCGTGTTTTCTCACAGAAGTATAAGTACGCTACCACAGGAAATCAAGGTGTTTCTCGAAGACGCATATTTTTTGACGCACATTTTTTTTTTGCAACGTTCAAAACGAAATGGGGACTGTGTAGGATACCCTTCATCAAATACGCGTTTTTCTCCAAAAGTCTCTAGTCTTTTTCGCCACATCGACATTTTGCTTGGGAAATTGGCACAGCACTAACAGAATTGAACCACTAGCGCATTCCCGACATTAGTGCTCTGTTTTAGTTGAGAGGGTAACACAAATTTGTAAGAGAAATGTGAGGGGAGGTGAAGAAAAACTAATGCAGCCCAAAATACTTTCAACAGTTCATCGGAAATTGCTCTAATCTAGCCACTCCATTAAACAGATCGCGTGTTATAGTGGTACTATTTTCCTTTTCAAATCAAGGTAAACCAAATAAGTTTAGTTTCGAATAACTTTTAGCTTTCAATAAAACATCTGTCTCATTTACCGACCACCCTATTTAAAAGACCCACATCATGGATATACGGTTAAAGGACTAACGCGATTTCTCTGTGGTGGCCTTTTTCCTATTCTCAGATTTAGAAAATAACCTTAGCTGGTTGCTGATCGACCCAATTTGACGCCCCCACGATTGAGGGAAAAAAATAGAATAATACCGAATAAATAGATACATACACGAGTCAGACAAAGGAACCCATTGCAGTCTACAAGCATTGGAGGTTAGATAAATAAATTTTGATAAACATCGTATATACAATATATCCAACATGTTTAGTAAGCAAATGGCATGGATGGATCTGGATAATAACTATAATGCATAATTGATTAGCTAAAGATACTTAGGTCACTGTTGTTAAGTGAGATTTAAGTCCAATCGTCTTTAGTTGCATCTTGCTTTGAGAGTTAAGAATAGATGAAGTTGTTTGTCCAAGCAGATAATCATTTCCTCCCTGTTTAAGATGGCAATAGAGGAAAGAAATTACAGTTTTAGATCCAATGGAAATATGTAGCCTTTCGTGCGTTTATTCAATTTTTTGTTCTTTGTTTTTTGGAGAAGTTAAAGGTTGTTTAAAATCCTATACTGACAGCGCGACCTCTTCTGTCGAATGCAGCTTCCGGGAAGGAGGTTTATAAAACCTGAGTGCAATTATCAACAGTTTAACACGAGTGAGATATATACTTTCCGGTTCCTGATTGTTCAAAATCCCTTGTTTATTGTCTAAGTACATTCCTACAAACATCTTACAGATATTTTTGATGAATACTGCGTGCGTGCAAAAATTTTGATGGATACGAGTACGGTGGCCTAGAAGGCTCAACGCAAACAAAAAATATACCGCAGCAAATAAAAAATATACTGTAGCAAATAAAAATATACTGCAGCAAATAAAAAAATCAGAACGCAAAGAAAAAAGTACCGCAGAAAATAAAAAAATGCAACGCAAATAAAAAATACTGCAGCAAATAAAATATGCAACGCAAACAAAAAAAAGGGAAAACGCAAACAAAAAAAATTGGAACGCAACGCCAAGGAAGACTGGGTAATAGTTCTTAGTTTCCCGCCAAAACAGCATGAAGTGGAACTCGCTTTTGGCGACGAAAGCGATCTGCGTAGGATTATAGGAGATTACTTTCATCAAGGGTATGAAAATAGAGTTATTATCGATTTTTTAAAGGAGCAGCATGGTACTGTCATAAGTTCGCAGCAAAACATGGTTTCGGAAAGGTGAACAAGCAAAGGATGGAACGAGTGTTGGAGGGAAACTAAGAACTATTACCCAGTCTTCCTTGGCGTTGCGTTCCATCTTTTTTTGTTTGCGTTTTCTTTTTTTTTCTGTTTGCGTTGCATATTTTATTTGCTGCAGTATTTTTGTTTGCGGTGCATTTTTTTATTTGCTGCGTACTTTTTTTCTTTGCGTTTTGATTTTTTTATTTGATGCAGTATATTTTTT